CCCCAAAACCCCAAAACCCCATTTATCAAAAAATACGATTTTTGTGAATTTTCTTAATTAAAGAACCAATAAATAATTTGTGACAAATCATTTTTAGTCAATATTGAGTGAGTAAATTCTTATCTATCTCTAACTTGAAATTTTATCATAAATCATAGTAGACAAGCTAAGTATACCCTCTTTTTCACCCTTAGATTACTCTAAGCAAAATAAGTTCCCACATCTTGCATATTCAATTCCTTTAACCAGTGTAAATACATCCAATGACTTGCAATTAATCACTCCAAGTGATTTAGAATCTCTGTAAATCAAATAGGGACGATCTTCTCCGAATCCATCAATCTTTATCAATGAGTTATAGTTTATACTACCTGAAGGATTATATATTTGTGAGATGCTTTTAGGCTATTTTCTGTTAAAGAAAAAGATGTTCTTATGAATGCCAAAAGCGATAAAGCAGTTAATTGAAATTTGTGAGACACAAAATACGGACTTACTGTTGAAATACTCAACATTTTCTAATTCCTCAATCTAAAATTCTTATTAATCTTTTCCAGGCATTAATATTTTGATAAAGGAGAGCTGACCATCCTTATATGCATTCTACACAAGATGAGAGAATCCAAGGCAAAGCTGGTTTGAATTATAAACCTGGATCCCATCTTTTATATCCATTTAGCACTTGTGCTAATAGGTAAAAATTACGGAAACATTTTGTAGGCAATAAATTTCTATCCACCCTTTTTCTTCGAGAAAGACCAAATATTATTTACTATTCTTACTTTGATGATCTTGGTGATCATAGAATATTATTTTTGTGACAACTTCCGAAGTATCTATAATCTCTTTCACCTCATACTCTTTTTAATCAATGACAGCAACTTATTTAGAAAGCAAGCCACAATAGATTTAATCTTCATGATTGAAAATTGAAATAGGGGTATTGGGTAAGGCTAACTCCCATTCCTAATCATCTTTTATAGAGTATACCTGTGTCTAAGAATCATTTAAGCCTAAAATCAACTTTTCATCTTTCTTATTATAGAAGAGAAAAGTGGTTTTATTACGAGGATTCAAATTTATTTCTTTTAATAATTTAAGACTTTGAAGTAAGGCTTGTTCTTCTTTCTAAACTTTTTTAAGTCTTAGATGCTAGTAGACAGGGTCCTGCTATAGAACCACTAGAATATGCTTATCACTATAGTCCTTAGGTACTTCTGCTAATACTTAAATTTGATTATCCTAAGAGTTTTGTTTACGAAAATTATCACCATACATTTCAATAGAATTTTAACTTGCTATCATAACTTCTTAGGATTCTTTGTTTGAATCGATATGTTTTTATTCTTCTTAAAAAAGTTCACTTTTACCTAGCGATGCTACTTGTTGCATTTAATTTTTGTTGCAAGTTGACAAAGACTGGACAAAATTTCGATCCTTGCCAAATTAAAAATCGTCATTTTATTACGTTGATTTTTATTCTTCATGAATGATTGCTTAATCCTGCTTCATTAACTATTGACTATTATTTATTGATGATGATATTTGGATGCTAATAATGTTGAACTGAAATTTGATCATATTTTATTCTTGAGAAGCATCATCAAATTTAGGATTCTCTATTTATTAATCTTTTAAAATCTAGTATTATTGACCAATTTAGTGTCCACATTTTTCTGTAGATCTTGCTTTCCTCTTGGATTGTAATTAGTTTTATTTATGTAGGGGAATTTATTTATCTTGGGTTTGGTCAAAATTGTGCTTCTAAATTATTGGTAACCATTCGACTTGGGGTGATTATTAAGAAGAAAGTTTTTCAATTTCCAACTCTTTGATTTTTTGATGATTACTCTTATCGCTATCTTAAATAATTATTTAATTTTGATCATTTTATCTTATTATCAGCAGATTTTAAGCTTTTTAATTCTTTTGTGTGACGATAGACATATTAGTTATCATGGAATAAGTAAGAATTATGTCACTCTTATTTAATTTTTGTTCTTTCACTTAGTCAAGATGATTATTCAACTAATCAAAAGTTTCTTAATCTTAGAATCCAGATAAAGCCATCAATTTTATAATAATCAAAGCAAACTCTTTCCATCCACCAACCATTGTTTTTAGATCGAACACCAATATCTTAGAGAAATTTGTTATCTCTTAGTTGATTTATTTATTACTTTTGCTTCCATTCTCGAAGTTTGAAAGTTTTGCATTTGTTTTATCTATATGATTTTATAGCTTTCATTAAAATGAAAGCAAATCTGAATGTCTAATCATAGTAGAATTCATTAGGAGTATAGAAAGTGATATTTTATTAAAGTATATAATTTGATTACGGTGCTAGTTAGTATTTTGACCAATTTATATCAAATAATTTAAATATTCGTCGATAAATCAAATTTTTATTTATGGGGTTTTGGGGTTTTGGGGTTTTGGGG